ACAATATCCTCAGAATCAAAACATAAATTTCTAACCAGTGCATCAAAATTCTTCATCAGGGCTGGGGACTTGACTTAGTAGTGTCACTGCCTGCCTCACAAGCACAAGGACCTGAGTTCAATCCCCAGTACTGAAAAAACAAAACAAAACAAAAAAAACTTCATCAGCTGACCATTTTCCTCCTCTATAATCAACTTTCCCACACTACACATTTTTCCCAATCTCTCTCAATCTTTCTTGATGCTTTGTGACAGCTCTGAGGTTCTCAGTTGCATCCCAAGCTTTTAGTCAAAGCAATCTTTTAAGAAAACCAGCAGCCAAATTTCTCTGTATAATGAGGCATTTATACAAATGTATAAGAAAATGATCACTGAGATCTATATGTATATACATCACTGACTCAAAGGACTCAAGGAAGAGGAGATATTTCATTCATTGTTATATCTTATTTTGAGCACAATTTCTGGCAAAGAGTAAATTATCAATTAAGCTTTGGTTAATTAGAGAAAAGAATGAGCTAATAATAAAAGTATTTAATTGTAAATGTTTTCTGAATCATCAAAGGAAGACAAAATGTATGAGAGAAAAACTCTTTCTTGAGAAACTTCAGATTATTAAAGGCATAAAATTTGGGACCTAGATCTATTACATTTTATATTTGTATCTCTGTGGAAGTTATTTCAACCTCTCTGAGCTTCAGTTTTTCCATTTATAAAATGGAGATAAAAAGAAATTACCTCATAAAATGGTGTCAAGATTAAAAGAAATAAAGCACTTGAAAAAACATCTGGTATATAGTAAGGTAAATTAGGCAGAATAATGACTCTGTCTACCAGGGCTTAGATGTTCATATTCTAATTCCTGGAACCTGTGAATATGCTACATTACATGGCAAATGGGATTCTGCAGCTATGATTAAGTTACAAACATTGAAAAAAGGCAGTTATTTTGGATTACCTAAATGGGCCCTATGTAATAAGGATCCTTAAAAGTTAGAGAGAAGATGTGACAGGGGTGGAAGTGGTGCCACGGCTGGAAGGCAGCCACAAGTCAAGGTATGATGACACACTTTAGAAGGTATAGCAAGTAAAGAACAGATTCTATGCCGAAGCCTTCAGAAGGAAAACAGCCCTGCCAACATTTTGACTTTATCTCACATAAGGCTCATTTTCAGACCTGTGATCTCTAGAGGAAATTATATTGTTTTAAGGCCAGGGATGTAGCTCAGAGGCACTGTGCCTACCTGGTAAGCACAAGGTTCTGAGTTCAATTCCTGTTACTGAGGAAAAAAATAAACTGAAAAACTACAACAGGATTCCTATGGGCAAATGAAAATGAAACTTATTGACCTTGTGGGAGACATATCTTTTCTAAATAAACCCAAATAAGCAGGTTTTTAATAAAATATATTGGCTTCTATTCTCCCCAGTCCCTAAATCACTCATTTAATAATATAAGGGGTCTTAAATTTTTAGCTTACAAAGAAATATGCCCTACAGTTATTGTAGTGACCCAGTGATTTATTATAAACATGGTCAATTATTTTATTTTCATGAACAATATTGTACCAAAAAGTGCATTATTTTTCACAATAACTTCCTGTGGTCCTTAAACAGACATTTTAAAAATTCATATTAAATAGGTCTAAGTTTAAGAAATGTACACATAGTAAAATGAAATACTTTTTAAATGGAATTATTTAGAAAAATTCTGTAATCATAATGATTTGCACAGTTTCATTTCAACACAGAGAAAGGAATGTTTGCCCCAGGATTAAATTTTTAATTAATTTTTCAAAATGTTCATATTTTAGTTTTTTTGTGTGTTTATATTATCAATAGGTGGGTCACTGAAATCTCAAAGAAAATAACAACATAATTTGATCAAAATTAAAATAAAATACAACATAAATAATTTGTAGCATATGGCTAATGCAGTAATTAAAAGAAAAGTTACCATTAAATGCTTAAGTGAGAAAAAAGAAAGATCTCAAAGCAATAATGTAAGTGTTCATCATACAGAAATTTAGAAAAGGAAAGAAAAAAAAGGAAAATATCACTGACTTTGAAAATGGTAAAATAGAAAAAAGCAAAATTAACAGCTCCCTTGAAAAGATGAATACAACTGATAAGCTTCTAGTTAGATATAAGAGAGACAGACAAATTGTCATTAGGATTGAAAAGGGGATATCATTATAGATCCAAAGCACCTTGGGCCGGGTTTTTCTCTGAGCGGTTCGGTGGCCTTGAATGTAACTGTACTGTATCCCTAAATGTACCAATAAACTCAATTAAAAAAAAAAAAAAAAGCACCTTAAAATATAATAATTCTATGACAATGCTACATAAATAATTTTGACATAAATAATTTTAGATAAGCCCTTGGAAACAATAATCCTCCCAAACTTACCTGATATGAAATAGATAACTTGAATTATTCTACAATTATTAAAGAAATTAAATTCATAGTGATTTCAAGCCTTCTAAGAAACCTCTAGGCCCAGGGAGTTTCTCTACCAAATATTTAAGCCAAAATAATATTAACTATCCATAACAGTTTTCAGACTTTAGAGGAAGAGAGAATTTGATAAGGCCAGCACTAACATGATAATCAAACTGGACAGAGAAAAGTTTAGATCAATATCCTTCATGAGCTGAAGGGGAAAATATCCTTAAAGTAAGTAATATCAACCCATACAAAAAAAGAATAATTCAACACAACAAAATGAATTTTATTGTGGAAATGAACCCTGGCTCAATAACTGATAATCAATGTTAATATTGAAAATTATTTTATCAAGTGATACACAAAAAGCATCTGACAAAACTCCAACATCCATTCATGACAAAATTGCTCAGGTCTTTTTTTCTTTTTTTGTGCCAGGGATCAAACCCTGGAACTTGCACTTGCAAGTCAGGCAGTGGCACCACTGAGCTAAATCCCTGGCCCTTCATTCATGATAAAATTATATCCAAACTAGGACCAGAAGGAAATTTCCCCAATATGATAAAAACTATCTACAAAATACAACTGACATCAAACTGATGAAAGACTGAATGTGTTCATGCTAACAATAGGAACTTCTAATCAGCACTGTTCAAGGACTTCTAGCCAGCATGTTAATGCAAGATAAAGAAAAACTTGCAGACTGGAAAGGCAGAAGTAAGGATGTATTTATTTGCAGAAAAAAAAAATCATCATATAAGTAGAAAATCAAACTGTGTTTTTAAAATTTGTGCTAATAGGTGACAGTAGAAAGATTGTAGCATGTAAGGTCTATATATAAAAATCAACTGTATTTATGTATATGATAGTAAATAATTGTAAATTGAAATTTAGTAAGAATGTATGATTTTCAAAAGCATTAAAATATGAATATCTAGATGTAAATCTGACTTGTGCTCCCAACATTACAAAATAAAAAGGCATAAATTTTGTCTTTTAACACTAAGCATGTATATTCACAAATAAAAATTTTCAATAACAATATTTCTCCAAAGATTAAATCCTTAGGTATAAATCTAAATATGCACAGCTTCTTAAAACTGAAATCTGAAAAATACTGAAGAAAGAAACTAAAGACCTAAATGAAAGGAAATATGTATCATGTTCATGGGTTAGTAAAGTCTGGACAATGAGGATTTCAATTTTTCCAAAGCTGATACATAGAGTTAATATGAATCACATTTCAATCCTATACTATATTTGTAAATATAAACAGGCTCGTAAATAATGGTATAATTGACAGTGTTAAATAGGAAGAAAAGGGCTAAAAATGTAGGGGAAGTGGGAAGGGTAGGGAAAGGAAATAAGAGGAAAGAAAAAATATGAAAAAATGGAAATAAAGTATTTGTAAATAGGGAAAGGAGGAGAGGGAGAAGAGAGGGCAGGAGTAAGGGGAAAAAATGAGAACAAAGACCTGTCATATAAAGGTTCAAGATCCGAATGATGAATATAACTGTACTGTATACCTAAAATGTACCAATAAACTCAATGAGAAAAATAAAAAACAGGTGCATTCCAAATTTTAGAAAGAAAATCAAAGGAATTAAAATAGCTAAAATGATTCTGAAAAAGAAGAATAGAGTTGGAGGACTCATAAGGCCCTGTTTTATGAATTACTACAAAGCTCCACCAAACAAGAAAAAGGGCTATTGGCAAAAGAATAAAATAAATATGAATTAAGTGGAACAGAAAGTCAAGAACTACACCCATACATATACATCCAATTCATTTTTTATAAAATTGCAAAATCATTTCAATAGAAAAAGGACAGTATTTTCAACAAATATTGCTGGAACAATTGAGCATATCTACTACAGATAATGGACACTGATTTAAATCTCACAGTTTATTTTAAAAGTCAATTCAAAATAAATCATAGTTCTCAATATAAAACCTAAAACTACAACCCATTTATAACCTAGGACATTTATAACCTAGGAAAGTGATGGTAAACCTTTTAGAGCTTTCAGTGATAACAAATAGCCTGCTGAAGCACCCATGGGCTCACCACCACTGACCTAGGATAAGGCAAAATTCATAGATATAACACCAACTGGCTTAATCAAAATTAAACATATTTGCTCTGCAAGATAAAATAAAAAAATACATGCTACAGACTAGGAGAAATTATTTACAGATTACACATCCAATACAAAATTCATATTTAAAATATATAGTCTCAAAATTGAATATGAAATAACCTGATTAAAATATATGTAAAATAATTGAACAGACATTTCACTCATGAAAGACTATATACAGATGAAAAACAAGCATGTGAAAAATGTTCAAAATCATTAGAAAAATGTAAATGAAAACTACAGTGTGATAGCACTAAATAGCTACAATAGTTGAAAAACTAAAATTAAAATATTGAGTATATCAGGTGTTGGCTTTCAAGGATGTACAGAAAACAGAAATTTCATACATTGCTGCTTATCATGCAAATTAGAAAACAGTTGGACAGTTTCTTATATTGTTAAATATACACTTACCATATGATCCAGCAATCCTACTCTTGAGCATTTACCCTAGAGAAATGAAAGCAACAAAAATATGAGCATTAATGCTTATAAGAGGTGTACGATAACTGCCAAAACTTGGAAATCTCCATGTCCATTTACAGCTGAATAGATAAACCATGGTTCATTCACACAATGGAGTACTATTGTTCTAAAAAAGAACAAACTATAGTTATATGCATCAATTAGGATGAAACTCACAGGCAGTGTTCTTGAGTAAAAGAAGTCAGTTCCAAAAGGTTACATGTTGTACAATAATTCTATTATATAACATTATTTTATAGTATTAGACAAAACCAAAGTACTGGAAACAGAACACTAGTTTGGGGGAATAGGGGTACAGAAATGTGTGATTTTAAAGGTATATAGCACAAAGGAATTTGGGGGATGAGTCTATTCTATATCACCATTGTGTCGTCAACTGTAGGAGTCTATACATATGTTTAAATCATAAAGCTATATGCCAGGAATAAGTAAATTTTATTGTATGATAACTAGAGGAACAACTATGCTAAAAAAGAAGTTTGCTGTTTAAATGCAGGTCAGTACTATATCTTTCCTCAAAGTTGATGCTCAAATAGCTTTTGCTGAGCAAAAGTGTTGATACTATGAGAAAAGGAAAAAATGGAAACAAAGTCTTTGTAAATAGGGGAGGGTGAAGGGGGTGAAGGGAGGACAAGATTACAGGGGAAAAAATGAAAACCAAGATCTGTCATGTAAGGGTACAAGATCCCAATGATGAATATAACTGTACTGTATACTTAAAAAAATGCCAATAAACTGAATAAGATTAAAAACAAATCTTGATACCTGGCTGTAGTTTTCTTTTCAAGACCAATCTTCTTTACATCACTAAGCTTTTAAAAATTAAGTAACTCTCAATAGTATAGTTTCTACTATAGTATATGTCATTGGATGACTTCCAGCTTATATAAAAATTCACTAAAAATGTCAAGTGAAAACAAGAAACCTATGTTTCCTAATTATTTGAAGTTTTTATATAATTTATTAATAAGACTACAATAGAAACTAAAATACTAATGATAGGAAATGAAGACAGACACAAAAAATGGAAAGATGTCTGATGTTCATGGATTAGAAAAAAAATGATATTACTAAAATATTCATACTACCCAAATTGATCTGCTAATTCAATGTAATCCCTCTCAAATTGCAAATGACATTCTTCACAGAAGTAGAATATCTTAACACTGGGTTGGGGATTTACGTCAGAGGCACTGGGCCTGCCTTGCAAGCACAAGGTCCTGAGTTTGACCCCTAGCACCAAAAAAGAAAGAAAGAAAAAGAAAATCTTAAAATGTATATGGAACTACCAGAAAACAAAAAATAAACAAAAAAACAATAGCCAAAGCAATCTTGAGTAAAAAGAACAAAGCAAAAGGCATTGCACTCTTTGATTTCAAATATATAATATAAAGCTATAGTAATCAAAACAGCATGGAAATGGTATAGACCAAAAGAATAGAGTGCTAAGAAGCAAGCCTATATATCTACAGACAAATGATTTTCAAAAAAGATGGTAAAAATATACACTGGGAAAAGACTAGTCTCTTCAATAAATGGTACTTGGAACACAGTTCTGGATATTCACATGCAGAAGAATGAAACTAGACCCTTTTTTAAACCATATAAAAAATCAACTCAAGGTAGTTTAAAGACTTCAATACAAGATCTGAAACTATGACACTACTAAAAGAAAATATAGGTAAATGCTTCAGGACATCGGAAGGGTCAAAGATTTTTAAGATAAGACTTCAAAGGCAAAAACAGACTGCATTATATTAAACTAAAAAGCTTCTGCACAATAAAGAAAACAAAAGAATTAAGATGAAGAAAATATTTGCAAACCATACACCTTATGAGTGGTTGATACTCAGAACATATAAGAAGCTCCAAAACATCAACAGCAAAAAAAACCCCCTAATAACACAATTAAAAAATGTAATTGATATAAATAGGCATTTCTTAAAGAAGACATAAAAATATAAATAGGTATACAACAAATGGGCAACCTCCCCAGTCAATAGAGAAATGCAAAACAAAATCAAAGTGAGATATAATCTCATTCTTATTATAATACCTACTATACATACACAAATAATAAACATTGGCGAGGGATTGAAGAAAATGGAACCCTTACATACTGTCCATGGAAACATAAATTATAGCTATTACAGAAGACAGTATGGGGATTTGTAAAAATAAATAAATAGATAAATAGATAGATAAGTAGAACTATCATATGATTCAGCAATCCCAATTAGTTTGTCCAAAGGAAATGAAATGAGTATGTTGAAGAGATATCTGCACTCTCATGTTTATTCCAGCACTATTCACAATACTCAAGAATACAGCCTAAGTATTCCTCGATGGATGAATGGGTAAAGAAAATGTCATATGTAAAACAGAATACTGTTCAGTCATAAAGGATGGATGAAATTGGATGTCATTGCATTTAAAGTGAAGTCAGATATAGAAAGACAAATAGGTGATCTCCCTCATATGTGGAATCTAAAAATGCTGATCTTAGAGTTTGAGACTAGAACAGTTGTCATCAGAGGCCAAAGAGCAGGAGGAGGAAGGCAGTGATGGAAGAAAAGTTGATCAATGGGTATTATTAGGTTAGAGTTAGATAGGAGAAATAAGTTCTCAGGTTCTACTGCACAGTAAGGAAGACTATAGATAATTATAATGTACTGTATATTTACAAAAAGATGTAAGAAGGGATTTTGAATGTTTTCATTATAAAGAAATGCAAATATTGAAGAGATAGATATTCTTACTCTTGAGTATCATATAATGTGCACATATATAAAAAAAATCACGATACGTATGTGTAAAATTTTCTTGTTTCAATTAAGAACATAAAATTTAAAAGAAAAATAATAACAGCAACTATTACTGTGTATTTCATAACTCAGCTTTCTTATTAAAAAGGGGGGCACTAGAATTCTGAAGTAGGGGGATCATAAGCTCAAGCAAAGCCTGAGCAACTTACAAATTTTAGAGACCCTGTCTCAAAATTTTAAAATATTAAAAAGGGGTAGGATTGTAGGTAAGTTTGAAGGCCCTATCTTCAATCCTTGGTATCTAAAAACAAAAAAAGAAAAGGCAGAATCTGTATTGAAGTAATGACCCAAGGGCATAGTATCTCACACAGGCATTTGACATGTTTACAGAACTGCAAAATTGCCAAAAATTTATCTTAGATATTAATTCTTGCTAGGATATGTCTTTTTCCTTGAATTAGTAAGATTGACTTTTAAACATTATTATTGTTGCTGTTGTTGTTGTTGTTAGCTGGTTTTGGCAGCGCTCTGGGAGAGAGAGGCAGGAGGATCCCAAATTAGAGTCCAGCCTGGGCAAAGTAGTAATTTAGCTAGAGTTTGCCTCAAAATTAAAAAATAAAAAGGAATGATGAGGTGACTCAGTACAAAGTCTTTCTGGGTTTAATAATGACATGAACACACATCATCAACACATGAAAATTTTTAAGTTGCTGTTTTTAATTGTTTTGCTATTTTTTATTTTTACTTTATTTATTTATTTATTTATTTTTTGCTAAAGAGACATTGGGGATTTATTTGCCTGTAGCTACTGTGCAACCAATCATACCTATCAGAATTGGGCCATGCCACTCTCTACACTGACCTGTGTTACGACACATTAATTCTGATCAATTTGCTAGGCAGATTGGTCAAATTATATGTGTGAGAATGAATAAAAATAATTTCATCTTTACAAAAAAAACTTTAACTTTGCTCTTGTTCTGCTCTAAACTGTGTATAATAGGACATTCCTATGCTGAGAAATAATAATATAGCTAAGGTCTACCTAATTCAAGCATAACATACACTTTCAAAGATGTTATCTGCATATATTAACAGTATAGATTAAGTATAATTTTCATACTTTTAAATTTCTATGTACTAGAGCTCTTTACATTGTTTTTAAAGCATTCCTCAACATTCACTTAACATATAATCATTTCAATTTATCTAGGTATAGATAAATTCTGAAATGTTTATATTTCATAGCTTCAATAAGACATATTATTAAATGTATTTAAATGAAGCTAAAACATATTTTATATGTTATAAAATATATATTAGTATGATATTACACCATCACTTGCAAATAAACCAAACTGAAATGTTCTTATTAGAAAACAATAAAAATATAACAAAAATTAATCTTTAATGCCACTATAGAGCTGAAAGATGAAAAAAACAACTTGACTGAAGAATTACAGTAATTTTATTTATTGAAGCTACAACTAGCATCATAAACCATAATAAGTTCATTTAATTATATTAAAAGAATGAAATATTATATGAATTGAAGCTTTTAGTTCTGGGGACACTGTTAATATTTAATACATTTATTAGTAAGAACTACAATCTACTACTAATAACCAAATAGTAAAGGCAATTTGCTAAAAAATGTTTACACAGAAACATTTCAGTCCCCACATTTCCAAGTTTTCATAGCACCTTGTTCATGGGCTTTAACTGATTTAGATATCATCTAACATTTAGTGTTCAGTCTTTTCATACATACCACCCTGGAACATATTATAGTACATACAAGTAGTTTGAATCATAGAGAAGGAAACTTTCCTACAAAATTGTAGTAAAGGTAAATTGTCCCTTAGATATAAGCACAGTTAATACAAGTTAGCACAGTTAATAATAGCTGGGTCATGTGAGCACATATGTAAATAAGGTTCTTTGGAAATAACCATTTAAAATAAATGTGATGAGAAGTGAATGAATTCAACACTTGATTGGATTTAGAAAAAGTTTTCAACTTAATCTAATATAAAGTCATTATAAGACAATCACATAGTAAATTTAAAATGTTCATGACAAACAATGTAGTTTCAATACCACGAAATTAATGTTCTTCTAAAATATTACCAGAATTGGGGAAGAGTGAGATAAAGCAGCTTTTTCTAAACATATATGAAATATAGAAACAGGGTCATACATATTAAGTATAATAGGGCTACAATGATTAAGTGTACCTACAGAGAAATGTCATTTCAAAATTTAAAACCAGTTTTCTAAACATATATTCAAAGTTAGCTTTACACCCCAAACCACAATATTCATAAATACAAAATTTTAAATAAACTCTTTCAAAAAATTACCTGCTTCTGTAGCCATCTTTCCTGCCTTAGTTGTTTCCTTCTTAGATTCCTCAACTTGCTTCTTTCTCTCTTATTGAGCCTCTGATTAATGCTGCCCAGTGAAAATTTACTGGCTGAACTCAGGAAGTCCAGAGGGTAGAGGTGCTCTTCTTGGTCTGAGGCCTCTAACATGCTCCTGCCAGCTGAGGGTAGGTCCATCAGGAATGTCAGGTTGTTGCTGTTAGTGTGTTCTGAGTATACTGAAGAAGCTTCTAGACCACAATGAAATTCTCCTCCTCTTTGTGTCTGGCTCTCAAGGGGAGCCACTGAAAATCTTTGTAGCAGCAAATCAGTATCAAAACTAGACAGATTCTGAAAAGAGCAGCTATTTTTATTAGACTGTAAAGGCAAGTCTGAAAGGTCAATAGGCTGTGTTTCATTTAGCCTGGAATAGGCAGTAGTCTTACTATGTATTTCATATAAAGTGGGTAATAAAGTCAGCTTCTCATTGATGTTCAGATCCAAACTATGTGATTTTCTATGAAAAGCCCTTGTAGTGCATCTACCAGACTTGAGCTGGGGAACAAAAAGCTGGTATTTTGAATCTGGTGCTTTAAAGAGCAATTTTTCATTCTTCATCTGAAAATACGTTGATCGCACCTCCAGGCAGAGTGCTTCTGTTAATCTTCCAAGGCCATTATTATTTTGGGCCATGTTTAAAAGCCTGTGATCTCTGTTTTTGGAGTCACCACCTGTCAGCAGAGTTTCCTTGTCACAACCTGACTGAACTCTAGGATGTGACAAATATTTCAGCGATGGTCTCATTAGTCTGTTTGACTGTATTGCTTGATAATTGGTCCGGCTCTTTGAGAGATATACAACCGCAAGCTGGCCACAGGAACATTTTGGAGTGCTGACAAAATTAAAGCCCCCTAAATGGGCCCCACAGAAAGGGCAATTCAGTTTTCCAACTGTCCACTGTGCCTACAGGTATAAAGGAAAATAAAGACAATATTTCCATTGTAAAGTTACCAAAGAGAATGTGAATTTAAAAAAAGGAAAAGAAAAAGCCGACCACATGAAAGTTTTCTATGCTACAGAAAAGGCTAGCTTTGTTTTCTGATTAGTAGACAGAACAGCAAATGGAAACAAGCCTTCCAATAAATAGAGATAAGCAGCTACAAAGTTCTAGAATGATAACATATTGCAAATCATGCCCAACCAAACAATACTCCTAAGAATTCCAAAAAAGAATCCCTTAAACAATAGGCTAAATATGGATATGCTGTGAACTAAAGAAAACAACTCTATGGACCTAGGAAGCAAATCAGACTAAAGAGCTTAATTTGCAAGTAAAATCTCACAGAAAAGTGTCTGTTTTGATACACTCCTTGCATACCAAGCACCAGGGAAGGGAACTTAACCCAACAAATAGAATAAAGCTTTTTCTGGCGTTTTATATACAACTAAAAGATATTGACTGCATACATCAGATAGCACATTTTCTATACTCAGATTAAAAATTAACAATGAACCTGATAAAAATGATCTTTTCAGTAGACAGTATAACATCCTCACTGTCCTAATATATTTTGTAAAGTCTTGGACATTTAAAAGCAGTGGCACTTTCCCAGGAAATCATTACAATGTGATAATGAATGCAAGGGATATCTACCAAATGTTACTTTGGTAGACAACAACAATGAAAGCTACTTAATAGAAAAACATTATTTGAAAATATTTTCCAAAAATAATATTATTTATCCTTTTCTATTTTGAATTTGAAAAAATAATTATACCACACTATTAAAAAATGTGAGTTGCTACTCTTACACTACTATATTAAAGATCATTTGAAGTGTACACCCTTTTTAATTCGAATAATACCAATAAGTCATTAATTATTGATCTTTTTTTAAACATGTGTGTGTGTATTTAAGAATGATACAAGGTATTTCACTTACTTAACAAATAATATTCAAGATGCTGAGGACATAGTAATGACCAAAATGTAAAAATCTCTGATTTTATGAAGCATTTATTCTAGGATAACCAGGCAATCAACAAGATAAGTAAGCTATACATGTATGTGGGTAAAATACAAATGTATTATTATATATTTACATGATATATATATATATATTGTATACAGTTATAACTAATGTATGTTACCTATACTATAAATGAGACTATAAAATATAGGCAGGTATATAAAGCAGAGAAGGGAAAAATGGAATACACATAGGGATAATGGAGGTAAAGGTGTGGGTTGGGTACAGTTGATAGTTTATCCACACACTGTCTCTTTGAAAGTAAACAACAGAAAAAAAATAAACAAATCAAGTTGGTATCTGTGAGGATAACATTCAAAGGGGAAATCTAAATTTAAAAATCTGAGGCAGAAAAGTATCCTAGAGTGCTCCAGTAATAGTGAAGAAGCCAGAAGTGCAATCAAGAGTAATATAACTGTTCATGTATCTTGAAACTAAACATCAAAGAAAAACAGTCAAACAAAGGACAAAAGGGCTGGGGATTTAACTCAGTGGTTCCACCACCTGCCTTGCAAGCACAGGGACCCGAGTTCTATCCCTGGTACAAAAAAAAAAGGACAAAAATATGCTGAACATTGTAATATTACTAATTTTTCTCAGAGAATAGAAATTTACCTTTTGTATTAGGCAATTTATCCATTCTGGAAGAGCTTCTATATTCATGTGCCACACATGACAAAGATCTTGAGTGTCAACAGAAGCATATCTATCCTGTTATATAAAAATAAATTTTAGTAATTATCCATTCAGATTTCAGTCCACAAATTTCATGTTTAAATGAAATTTAAAAAGTTAAAATTTAAGTGTAGCTATAGAATGTACACTACTGTCCTTCTCTAGCTCCTATTATCAAAAACAAACCTATAAAGACCAAAATACATTTTCTTCAGGAAATAACTACTTGTAATTTAAAACAAAATTTAAAAACATCCATTTTATTTGTCAGCAAGTAAAATTTAAAAATTAGGCAATAAATTATTGAATGTACAAATCTAATGTCCTGTTTTTTCTCTGCTTGCATGTGAGATAAATAGTGCCATTTATAGTAACTTTCCCCAGCCTTCACTCTCTGATCCCAGCTGATTTATCACTGACAATATAAAGACGTTGCTATACTCTCTATCAGAATACTACTCAATAAACATGCAGGTGGATGAAGAAGAGGAACGATAAGGTTTGGACACAATGCCCCCAAAGGTGCCATCTTGAAATACTCAAAAGCAGCAAACCAGAAAGGGCTTTCAGGATATCCTCCTTCCTGCCCTTCTCTATTGAAGCAGGTGGAAAACCTAGGAAGATTTTCTGATCTCCTCTGAAATTGATCATGAGATACTCAACCCCATCCTGCCATATCCAGAGGAAATAAACATGTTCTCCGCTAGCATTATTGCTAGATAACTGCTAAGGTCCCTTCTGATCTATGAAATGGAAAGATCAGAGAGGAGAATCTGAACAAACAGCCGTGATGAGATGTTGGTTGAGGGGAACAAAGAAAGTAAGGCTTCTTCCCACACACTATTTCACAGGATCATATTTTGAAGTAAATAGTGCTAAAGCTACCAAATCTCAATATTTACTTTCATATACTTTATAAGCAGTTGCCCAACTGTTTACTGTAATTAGATTTTTAAAATAACAAACAAGCAAATTTCTAAAACATATTTCAAATCTATATTCACAGTGATATGAAAGAAGCTGTGACCTAGAGCCAAGATCACCCAGAAATTCTACATTTAATTTCCAAATTGGTCCCCACTGGGTCTTTGACTACTTTTGTCTTCTATCATTAGATCTTAAAGATATTAAAAGATGTCCAGATGTAGATAAAAATTTCAGGGTGATTTGTTTACATACTGGCAAAAATCTATAAAGAAGCTATCTTTAGTGAGCAAAATGGAAGTCGTGATTCGAGACTCTAGAGCAGAAACTGACAAAAAAATAGATGAGCTCAGGACCATGATAGAAGCCATGAAGGCCCAGCATAAGAAAGAAATGGAAAAAATAAACGCCCACCATAGGAAAGAAATGGAATCCATAAAACAGATTCAAACAGATATCCAGGAGATTAAACACTCCATTGAAAGTGTACACAACAGAATAAAAGAATGCGAAGATAGACTCTCAGATATAGAAAATAAGATTGCAGTCAGTGACCATGAAAAGAGAGGTCTTTTAAAAACAGTAAGAGATCATGAGAAATCAATCCAACAACTCCTAGATGATGCAAAGAAGAATAACATAAGACTGAGAGGAATCCATGAAGTAGCAGGAGAAAATACAAATGACTTAAAAAAGCTGCTTGCAGAATTAATGACAGAAAACTTCCCAAACAGAGGGGAAAATTTGACATTCAGATAACTGAAGCATATAGGACCCCAACTAGCTACAATAAAAAAAATCTACACCTAGACATATAATAATCAAGATCCCAGAAACCCAACAGAAGAACAAAATACTACAAGCAGTAAAAGAAAAGAAACAAATCACATGCAAATGAAAGCCCATCAGAATCACAGCAGACTTTTCAACACAAATCCTTGGGGCAAGGAGAGCCTGGAATGAGATATTACAAGTATTAAAAGAGAACAACCTCTGACCTAGGCTGATGTATCCTGCAAAACTCTCATTTAAAATGGAGGGGGAAATAAGACACTTCCAGGACAAAGAACACCTGAGAAACTACATGAATATCAATCCAGCACTACAAGCAATTCTAAACAAGATCCTAGAAAAAGACAATGAAGGCAACAACACCATGAGCCCCAACAGAGCAAATCAAAAGGCAAGGCAAGAAACTAAAAGGAAAAGGTGAAAAGGAAAAAAGAGTCAACAAAAGCCAATAACATGTCAATAATAAGTCAGTACATATCAGTTATAATCATCAATATCAATGGCCTCAACTCACCAATCAAGAGAAACAGACTGGCAAAATGGAATAAGAAGCAAAATCCAACAATATGTTGTCTACAAGAAACACACCTAGTGCAAAAAGAAGCCCATAGACTGAAAGTGAAAGGACAGAAAACAATTCTCCATGTGACAGGAGCCCAGAAAAAAACAGGGTTAGCAATCTTATTTGCAGACAAAGCAAATTTCAAACCAAAACTGATTCTAGTATTATTGATGTAGGACAGTACTGTATCACACCTCTGTGAATGTAAAATATCTTGTACCTGCTTTATGATACATACTAGTGATCATGCTTTATCAGAGCTATAGTTAATGATGTTACTCTAGAATGTTCTCTTTCCAGATGATGATTAAGATGCTAATTTAAAAAATGGTGCCAGGTACTACAACAGCAACAGAACTTTGCTGTTTTCTGGATATTATTATTTTCTTTGTTTTTGTTTTGTTTTGTTTAATGGAATGTGCTGAATGTCTATAGTTTTGTTCAGATGACTGCAGAACCTGGCAAAGCTGTTGCTGCTATCAATGCATAACATACTGCTATTATTAGTCTCTCTCTCTCTCTCTCTCTCTCTCTATATATATATATATATGTATGTATAAATTGAATTTTGGGAAACTTTAACAGTGCTGTCAATTTTGGAAAAAGTTATCCCAATTTACTGTGTTGAGTTGGCATTGTACAGAAATTAACAGCCATATTGGTCTAGAAATGTTAATTTTTATATTTTTATTTTTCCATTTGTACAGGAATAATGCATTGTACTAAGTATGTAAGGTCATATCTAAGTGGGTTTGATTACAGAAACTAAAAAGTATTCTCTAAATAATGAAAAAA